TCCCGTGGCGCCACTTTCGACGAGTCTGTCTCCTTTTATCACCGCTTTCCCCACCGAGGTCTCCCAGTTTCCCCTCCCCTGTTTTTGGTTCCCACTCCCCCGATAGCCCCTGCCCACCTCCCTCCCCGTCTTACTCCGTCTGGTGTGTCTCACGTCACTCCCCTCCCGTCGGTTGTCCCGGACGAGGAGTTGGCTGACTTTAGTGGCCCCGAAGCGCAGTTCTCGCCGCCTATCTCTCCCCCGGTGTCTCCTCTTTTGCTGCCGCAGCAGTCGCTGCAGTCGCCGTCGCCGTCGCCGCCGCAGTCATCGTTGCCGCCGTCGTCGCAGCAGCCATTCGTGGACTCTGGGGGTGCTCGCGTTGAGGAGGGTGCTAGTCGTGGGGTTCCTATCGCGGCTTGTCCTCACGGGCTCGGGGGTGGCACCGGTGCGGGAGTGGGTTCTCCCTCTGGGGTGCTATTTCTAAGGTGGCTAGAATGGAGTGTTCTGGGAGTAGCCGTGGTGCAGCTGGCGGTCCAGGTGTTGGTGCGAGCAGCAGCAGCAGCAGTCGCCGCCGGTGTCCGCCCTTCGCCTGCTCGGCCTTCCATCCCCCGACTACTCGCCTGCGCCTCCCCCGCCGCCTCCTCCCCTTCCTGTCTACGGCCCTGTGATTCCTCTGCCGGACTCGTACCCAGCTCGTTTCCTACCTTGTTCCCCTGCTGTATCTCCTCCTCTGTCTCCTGAACCCGACGCCTCCGTCTCACGTCTGGTCTCGCCGTCCCTCTCGTGCTCGTCCTGTCTCTCCTGTTCAACGTTCTCATCCTATGTTGCTTTGTTCCCACGCGTCTCGTCCTCCCTTCCTTCCTCCGCCTCCTTTGTCGTCCCTCGCTGTCGCTCCTCCCCCTCTATCTGACTACCTTTGTGCCGCTCATCCTCTTGTTCCTCGGGTCCTTGCCTCCCTCGTTATCGACTCGTTTGTTCCTGTCGCGAGTCTTGGCGCTCTTGTCGCTGCTGTCGCTGACTTCGCCTCTACCCACCACCTTGACTACGCCACCGATCTGGTCTCTTACCCCGTTTGTCCTCCGTCCGTCGGGGGTGCGCCTGCCCTTGGCAGTGACGTACTAGAGGACAGGGAGTACGAGCTGCTCCCCATCTCCGTTCCATGCTGCTAGTCCCTGAAGGCGACCCAGACGCCTTGGACATCCCAACCCCTTGCACTTACGCTGAGGCGACCTCAAGATCCTAGGCCTCACAGTGGATAGCTGCCATGGAGCAGGAATTGGCATCTTGGAGATCCACTGGCACCTATGTCGACGCAGTTCCCCAACCTGGGGTGAACGTAGTCGATGGCCGGTGGCTCTTCAAGGTGAAGCGCCCCTCTGGAGAGCCGCCTATGTTCAAGGAGCGCTATATGGCTAGAGGCTTTAGTCAGCGCGAGGGGGTGGACTTCTTTCAGTCCTTCGCCCCAACCCCAAAAATGACTACTCTTCGGGCGCTGCTACACGTAGCAGCACAGTGTGACTATGAGCTCCACTCTCTTGACTTCTCCACTGCTTTTCTGCAGGGCAGCCTTCACGAGCAGGTCTACCTACGCCGTCCACAGGGCTTCATCGGTACCTTCCCTCTGGGACCCAGTGGCTCCTCAGGCGCCCGGCTTACGGCCTGCGACAGGCGCCACGTCAGTGGCACGACACAATGCGTGCTACGCTAGCTGACCTGCAGTTCTTTCCATCCTCTGCAGACTCCTCGCTCTTTGTTCGTGCTGGCCAGACTCCGTTCTGCATCCTTGTCTACGTAGACGACATTGTCTTTGCTACTGCAGACAGAGACGCACTGGCCTCTGTGAAGGCTGAGCTGCTGAGGAGACACACCTGCATCTAGGAGAGCTGCGCCGCTACCTTGGCCTACAGATCTCCAGGGACAGAGTAGCACGCACCATCACTCTCACATAGCCACACTTGGTGCGCCAGCTCCTTAGAGGTTCGGTCTTGATTTCTCCTCTGCATAGCCCACACCTCTGCATGTAGACCACAGGCTCTCAGCTCCAATTCCTGAGGAGTCAGTAGAGCCCAATGGTCCTTATGCAGAGCTGGTGGGTTGCCTCATGTACCTGATGACTTGCACTCGTCCAGATCTCGCATACCCTCTCAGCATCCTAGCCCGCTTTGTGGCCACAGGCAGACAGCGACCACAAGACTGGTCGGCCGCTAAAAGGGTTTTGCGTTATCTAGCAAGTACATCGGGCATGGGGCTAGTGCTGGGAGGACGCAGGCCAATGGTCCTTACTGGGCACATAGATGCTTCTTGGGCAGACGACGTTGAGACCCTTAGGTCCTCCCACGGCTACTGTTTTGGCCTTGGTTCGGGTGCCATCTCGTGGAGGTCCACTCGCTTCTCGTCTGTTGCCCTGTCTAGATGTGAGGCTGAGATCTACGCCGGTGTCATGGCGGCACAGGAGCTCCGCTGGCTGACCTTCTTGCTCACCGACTTAGGTGAGTGGCCTAGCTCTGCCCCGGTTCTATACGCTGACAGCAGGGTCATGATCCGTCTGTGTGAGGAGCCACGACTTGAGGGCACAGCGACGCACATCCATCTGCGGTACTTCCTCCTGCACGAGCTACAGCAGTGTCTCCATGCCCGCGTAGTACACTTTGCCTCTGGTGCCAACACAGCTGATATCTTTACTAAGGCGCTTGCACCCAAAGATCATAAGCGGCACTGTTTGCAGCTTGGTCTAGTTCCTGTAGAGGCTCACTTTCTAGGACCTTGATTATGTACTCATCTTTATATATACCTTCCAAACTGGCCTTGTGGCTTCTCCTCCAGTGGCCGGACTAGTAGTGCCACCTTGGTTTGCCCTTGTCTTGTTTGTACACTTGCTGACTGGTCTTCGGACCCCTTCCTCAGAGGTTTGACTAGTAGCGCCACCCTGAGCTGCATGTTTCTTGCTCAGCACTACCCCTTATCTAGCCTAGGGGGTGTGTCAACTTATACATATATTTAGATATATGTACAACTCCAACCCTATATCTCCCATGTACTCTCTTGTTTCTACTCATTCTCATATTCTAACAATACCCCCTATTGAAAATCCATCAGGGTGGTACATGGGCCAACTCTGATAAATTAGAGAAAATCCTTATTTTCAAAACTTTACCCAGGACCATCAGAGTGGTTTTCAAAAACCACTCTGATTTTCAGAGAATCAGAGTGATTTGCTATGATAAAATAAGGCCTGGAGTCAGCGCGACAACAAGGACAAATAACCGTCCCGATATTTCAGTACGGGTGTTTACCCAAGTCGCTTTATCAAGTCGTAAAAGGGAATGTCCTAAAAGTGCATAAACAGTTAGACTCTTTATATTCTCTTGTATTATTATATAAACCAGGGCCTCAGAAGTCAGGCTTGAAAGCCTGTATATCAGGGTGTTTTCTAGGGCATATCCTGATTTTTCAGGTTTTTATTTTTGTCAAACCTGAAATTTATGTGTTCCCATTTTCTAAGGCCAGAAAATTTGTATTTTCTTGTTTTACCGATCTTGACGAATCAGCCTTACTCGAAATTCGCCTTGAATCTGAATCTTATCTGCCAAGGCGAGCTAAAGCACGTGTGAGGGGCATGACTGGTCCTTGACCAGAATCACGCAAGTTCGAGGCGAGGTGGAGCAGGTGTGAGGGGCGTGATTGGTCCTTGACCAAAAATCACGCAAGTTCGAGGCGAGCTAGAGCAGGTGTGAGGGGCGTGATTGGTCCTTGACCACAATCACGGAACTTTGAGGCGAGCTAGAGCAAGTGTGAGGGGCGTGATTGGTCCTTGACCAGAATCATGCAAGTTCGAGGCGAGCTGGAGCAGGTGTGAGGGGGTTGAATGGTCCTTAGCTAAAATCATGCAGGAATCTGAAGAGAAGAATTGTGCGCAGTGAAGTCCGATCCGACCTAAAAATCAGAAACTACATTATGTAGGCCTGATTAGTCATACTAAAAAAAACAATTGGCCTGAATAAACATGCCACGCCCAAAACCCGACCCTGAAAAACATGGGTTCTCACATGGGCGACCCTGAGCAATCAGCCTCCCTAAAACCAATCTGAGGGCCTGATATAAACCCCGTATCCCTTTGCTATAATCAATCACTTGTTCTCACATACCAGTACAAGGGTTCAACCCAAGACTTCCGCTGTGCTATCAAGCACTCTATTACAAGGACTTAGCCTTCTGAAAAGATCCTAGGGCTATACGCAGCCCAACTCAACTAAATCCAGCGCCCAATCAGTACAGGCAAACCTCCGATATACAGTACGGGCAATGTGAGACCTGTTTGAGTCACTCTGCGACATGTCATAATTGAGTTTGCGACCAACATAAAGCAAGGGACAAGCCATTGCCGACGTGGTTTCGTCGCTACGGAACTGTGCACCGTAGTGTCGTGGCACTGGGATAACCCTGTCGATCCTCTCTCTCTCTAGGGAGGGTACTGGGGAGGCTTTCCTTGGGGAAGGTGGATATATGGAGCCTAACCCTCCTGATGATATCCCTTCTTGTCCCAGTGGTTAGGACTGGTGACTTTATGACACGTAGTCGCCTGATCGCCGCACAAGATTTGCACACTGTCAACAAACATCGCCACCTAAAGCCCCCCCACAAATACCCACCCCTTTCGCCGTGTGCTTGTGCGAAAGCCTCATTTGTCCATGGTGAGGGCATGCGAAATACTTGTGCGATTGCATCCTCGGCACTTTCAAATCTTGTGCGACTCTGACGAGCTTTGTTTGTAGTGTCGCTGGCCCTCAAGGCAATGGGTTGACTTGCCAGGGTCTAGCTAGCAAACCTCCTGCCTGGCTGGCGAGAAATCAAATAGAACCTACATAAATTGAAGTTTTCACAAACTGTTACACCATCTTTGCTATGGATAAATTGAGGTACCCCCATAGCCTCACTGATTTGCATTACATAGCTGAGAATTGACAAATGGCCGCAGAACATCATTTAGAGTGAGCTTGGCTGCAACTTGGGTTCAAACACAACATCATGTAAATAAAGCCAACTTACTGCCACATGTAAGCATGTGACGAATTCCAGCCTTGATCGATTGGCTGCTCGAACATGTTATGAGCTAACGTTTTTGGCTTGTTTGGAGGCTCCTTAATTCAGCCCTGACGACAAATCAGTGCACAGGGCACACCGTTCTCTCACCGATCTTGCCCAGCCACTCGGATCAGCATCCCCTGTGCCGCTTGGTTCCCTGTAACCCCCCCTCTCACACTCACCCCCACTGCACAGGCACTCTTCACCCCAGCAGGCAGGGCTGGCAGTGCTGCCACGGCCTTGGCTGCTGGGGAGACCTGAGCCGCCATGGCTGTGCCTCGGCAGGCCCACACCGAGGGGATGGGGGAGGTCCAGGTGCAGGCCAGGGCGAGAGTGGAGGGAGTGTAGGAGGAGGGGGAGGAGGAGGAGGTGGGGGAAGTGGACGACGAGGAAGAGGAGGTGGGGGTAGAGATGGAGATCTTGACGGTGCGGAGTGGCTGGGATGGGTTGATGACGATGATGAGGTAGGTGACCTTGGCGAGGGCGTTGCTGTGAGGGGGAGACAGCAAGAACAATGCAGAGGTTGGGAGGGGTTGGCTACAATGTCGAGGCAGACGATCTTCGTGAGGGTGTTGCTGTGATTTGTTTAGAGGAAATGTGGGTGTAACAGGGGTTTGCTCGGTGGAGAGGGCTTGGGTGGGTCGCGAGGGGCTGGGTGGGTTGAGAGGTGTCATGTGGGTTGAGAAAGGCTGGGTGGGTTTTAAGTGGTTCGGGGGGTTGAGAAGTTATATACATGGTGTTTCCGCCCCTCAGTGCTCCTCTTATCAGTAGTTGCAATGAGAGGAGGGCTGTGAATCTGCACGATGGTATGTACTCACGTGGCGGATACAGACAAGGTGGTGCCACCCCTCGCTGCGCCTCCCAGCGGAGCAGCCGCAGTGGGGTAGAGCACAGGCGCGAAGGCAGAGGGGACTGCAAGGGTGAAGGGAGGGTAGAGGGCAATAGGGCGGCATGCTGAGGGGTGTCGACGTCAAATGCCAGCCCTCGCTGCTCCTCCCAGCGAAGCAGTCACAGTGGGGTAGAGCACAGGAGTGACTGAGAGGGTGAAACGAGGGGGAGGAAAGATAGAGGCGAGACGTTGAGCTGCGGTGGGCTAGAGCACAGGAGTGAAGGCAGAGGGGACTGGCGGGTGTGGGGGGAAGCGCGAACAGAGGTGACATTTTGAACCGCAGTGGGTTGGATTGGATCACAGGATTGAAGGCAGCGGGAACTGCAGGAGTGAGGGGACGGGAGCTTAGAGGTGATAACTTGAGCCGCAGTGGCGAGGAGCACAGGAGTGACGGCAGAGGGAACTAGGGGGGTGAGGGGAGAGGAGATTTGGCATGAAGAGTTGTGTCAGAATTCAAACGATGCTACCCCCCTTAGCAACCGCAGGGGCGTAGAACACGGGAGTGAAGGCAGCGGGAAATGCAGGGAATGAGGGGAAGGGAAGTTAGAGGCGAGGTGCCATGTTGAGCTGCAGTGGGGTAGAGAAAAGGAGTGAAGACAGAGGGGGCTGGAGCTTGTAGTGGGAGAGGGGCAGGGAGGAGGGCTAGGAATGCGAGGGGGCACGAGGAGGGGTAACTTCATCACATGATCAAGTTGTCCCAGCAATGCTGCTGCGGTGTAAGGGATGCAGAGGGGTGCAGAGAGGTGCAGGGTGGATAGCAGCATGGAGGGACATGATCTTTCTTCAGAGAATTAGTTGGTTCCCTCACCCCCTCTCTCCCACTGCACTCAATCTCACCACAATCCATCTCACCCCTCTGCATCTCACCGTTGTAGAACGCCTTGGCTCGAGTAAGCGCGCCAATGGTGCTGCTTCCAGCGCCCACTACCGTAGCAGAGAACCCAATGCCACTGTTGCCACTGGCAGTGTTGCTGCTATCACTTGCAGCCCCACCATTTGCACCACCACCAGCAGCAGCAAAGAGGGCGGCAAGAGGAGCAGCAGGGAGGGAAGGAGAGGCCGAAGAAGCAGCAGCAGCGGAGGAGCAGTGCCACACGGATGGAACGGGCTGGGAGCAGGCGAGGGGGGGGAGGGGGATGGCGATACTGGGCTGCTGCTGCTGTCTCTGATATAAGGCGATCCGTTTGGGTGCAGTGGCTGTTCCGGTAAGCACGAGAGTGTAGCGGAGATTGTATCTTGTGGCACTGTGGAAAGGAGAACAGGAAGGGGTTGGTTGAGAGGGTAGCGGGTATGCATGTCAGATTCGACTAAACCAATTGATTCTTTTGGGTATTAGATGCCGTATTTTCTGACTGAAGCACTGGCCTCGGCGATTAAACACATATCTCTATTCCCAGTATACAGCCAACTTGATTGCATGCTTAGAGAGCGCCAATATGTGAGAATTTATTACTTTTTTTGAACGAGCAGGCTGAGAGTTCCGGCAGCCCCCTTGCCTGAAAGACTTGCCAGCAGGCTCACTGCAAACCGGAATGGGGGGCAATGACAGAAGGATAAGGGCTGAGGGTTCAGGATTTAGGTTTCATACGTGAGGCACCTTGGATGGTGGATGGTGGGCTGTGGCGTTGCTGATGGTAATGACGGATGGTCAGGTGCACGCAAGACTGCATGGCATGTTGGGGCCATGATTCCGTTTTGAAAGAGTAGAAGCTGGAGGTGATGGAAGGTGGGAGGTGACATTGAGAGAGGGAGGGTAGGAGGGAGTGCTTTGCCTCTTACAATCTGTTTGAAATGCGTTTTGAGCTTCACCGATTTTGAGCTTCACTCCACCCGGTGGAAACCCACACAACAATGTGCAATCCATTAACGTATTTAAAATATTCAAATCCCATACCTCGATGGCAAAAATCAACTTCGATGCCGAAACATCCCGCAGACCCCTAGAAAAATGTTCTCACCTTGTTCAGTCAGGGCTTGCGCGCCACGCACAAAAGCCAGCAGCGATATCGCGAAACCTGGTAACAAGATGGTGTATCAAATGTTGAAGATGACTGGGGTAGCATGAATTTCGAGTAGGTTTTGGATAAAAATGGAGAGAAATCTAAACGGTAGCGACAAGTGGTGGCGACGCGTAAATGTGGGAGCAGCGTAGAATTCACACCCATTTGCGAAATTCGCGAGAGGACTGAAATGAAGGGACGAAAGCTTGGGAGAGCGTGAATTGACAGCAGACGCCCGATGGTGCTGGCGAAACAACGTGAGGACCTAAAGTTTAGCGTGCGTGGAGAGGGGAATGACAGGGCGGGGAGTGGTCAGGGAGTGATCAGGGGGGGAGGGGGGGGGGGGTGGGGGAGGGTGATGTAAGAAGTGGGGCCCCGCTGGTTCAGACGTACAGAGGAGGCTCGTAAGGATTGGGGAGAACGAAGGCTGAAATTGCCGCCTAAGCAACTGCTTCGTTCGCGCCGCCATGGCTTTAACTTTGATTCCTCGGCTTGTCTCGAGAAAAATGATAACGGGAAGCGGGAGGCCCGACAGGAACGCAGTAACGCGAAGAGCAAGATGGCCTTGTGTGTATCGAGCGGATTCTCTACTTTCTCGATGTTAGAAACAGCACCATAATCGAACCCGCGAGATAATGACGTTATTTGACGCGGCGAAAGAAATCTAGGAAACACGGAGCGCGCTGAAATAGGAGCTGTGCTGCCAAAGAGCCTTACGTGTCACTAATAATCGTCCCGCGTGTTCCGATCGAGGCAAAGGAAAAGGAAACTCGATACCGCACTGCAGCTCTGTGGGTGAGATATGTTTGGCTTTGAAGAAAGAGCAGCAATGACCAGTACTAGCCACCAGCCTGTCTCTCTTCGGTCCTCGCCTGGGATGGCCATGCTTTGCAATTATTGGCGCAGTTCCCATTTTCATCAATCTCTGCTCCTTCCTCGCTCGAAATGTGCGCTGCGGCGAAGTGGACTGGAAGCGCGCCAGCCGTCGATGATGAATTTGACGAGCTGCGCGTGAGATGCGGAAGGCCAAGGAAGAGTAGGCTGAAGTGACGAGGGACAATAATCGCGGAAGCCGCAAGTGCAGGCCCTCGTTATTGACACTCCAGGCGTCCCTGCATCCGAAACAACTACAGTAAAGCGCTAGGTGATAACACCATTGCTCAACTCACAACCTGTATTAGAGCCAAAATTGCCTCCCATAAACGCCTTTGAACCCACACCACACCAGCCTTGCACAGATAAGCGTCTAGAATATTATCTGCATTTGTTAATCGTCTTTAAAAGAGACCCTCACTCTGAGCACACCTGCTAGCTTCTTATCATTCACATTCAACACCCCTCCAGCTATAACACCCATCTTCTCCCCACCCTCCTCCCCGTTCGCACAGCCCACTCCATCCATGAGCTCTTTGAGTGGCTTGGAAAGGTTCGGCCGAGTTGCCTCTTCGAGCACCGCAGGGGCGCGCATGTAGAGATTGGACCCGTAGAACGAGACGGACGGCGCTTGCAAACGGGCAGCGAACCGAGGGTCGGCCAATAGCTGGTCAATGAACTGCGCAAAGAAGAGAAATTGAGGGCATGGGGGGAGGGAAAGGGAAAGGAATGGAAAGACAGATTTTTGGCCTCTCCCCAGTACCACAGGGGCACAGGGGTAGAGGTTGGACCCATAGAACGAGACGGACGGTGCTTGCAAACGGGCAGTGAAACGCGGATCAGCCAATAGCTGGTCAATGTACTGCACGCAGAAGAGAACGCGAAGCTGTCATGGGGGATGGCGGGGCGGGAGAAGGGCGAGGTGGGGGAGGCGTGAAAAAGAAAGACATGTTTGAGTTGCCTCTCAAGCACTGCAAGCACGAAGGTGGAGATTGGACCAGTAAAACGAGACGGACAGCGCTTGCAAGTGCGCAGTGAAACAAGAGTCAGCCAGCAGCTGGTCAATAAATGGCAGAGAGATTGAAAGAGAAACTTGTTATGGGGAACAGAAAGGGGGACGAGTTGCTGCAGAGAGCAACACCAGCTGCATAGTGAAACAAAACTCGGATATAGTACCATGCTGCGCGCCAAGTACCATGCTGCGCGCCAAGTACCATGCTGCGCGTCAAGTACCATGCTGCGCGCCAAGTACCATGCTGCGCGCCAAGTACCATGCTGCGCGCCAAGTACCATGCTGCGCGCCAAGTACCATGCTGCGCGCCAAGTACCATGCTGCGCGCCAAGTACCATGCTGCGCGCCAAGTACCATGCTGCGCGCCAAGTACCATGCTGCGCGCCAAGTACCATGCTGCGCGCCAAGTACCATGCTGCGCGCCAAGTACCATGCTGCGCGCCAAGTACCATGCTGCGCGCCAAGTACCATGCTGCGCGCCAAGTACCATGCTGCGCGCCAAGTACCATGCTGCGCGCCAAGTACCATGCTGCGCGCCAAGTACCATGCTGCGTGCCAAGTACCTCCTGCAGAGAAGCGGTGGAGGGCACGGTGACAGGGACTCCAGCACTACACACAATGCACTCGGGGTCGCGCTCATAGGCGACGGTGTGGGAGTAGACGCCCTGTGTGCCCACGTACCTAGAGGGGTTGGGCATTAGAAAGAGCAGGTGGGGTGGAGGGGGAGTAAGTCGTGTGTATCGAGGTGCCTCGGATCACTCGGGGTCCCTCTCATACGCCACAGAGTGGGAGTAGACGCCCTGTGTGCCCATGCACCTGCACGCAATGGGAGGGATACGAGGAAAAGTGGGAAACGGAAGTCTTTCCAAGCGTGATCAGGGGGCCTCATCAGGGCACTCGGGTCGCGCTCATATGCCATGCTGTGGGAGCAGACGCCCTGTCTGCCCACTTACGTGTGAATAGCATGACACGAGGGGTTTAGGGAAAGAAGTAGGAGAGGGAAGCGTAGCGTAGTTGTTTGAAAAACAATACGGAGATGCCAAGAGATATAAGCAAATTTACTCACATCACAAAGCTCATCATGCATACAAGAACACTCACTTTCATCACATAGTTTTCACGCATATAAGCCCATTCTCTTTCATCGCATGATATCTTAAGACATGTAAGCACATTCACTTACATCACGTAGTTATTCATGCCAGCGGAGCACATTGTAGCGATCTTGAGAGTCTCCAGTGCACACACCGCTGATATGATGGCGTTGGTTGATGCTATAGCGGGGATAATGTTCTTCACCACTCCCTGTATGGAATGCCATGTGATTGTGTGACGCAAAAAAGGGAGAATGTGGCATTGCAACGAGAAGAGATGGGGAGAAGTAGAAGGATCAGGTTGGGGAATCAGGGAGAAGGCGACAGGCTTGAGAACAGGAAATGACGGCGGAACCTAGCTGCGTAGAGCTGTGTTAAACTGTCAAGCCCAGCTGGCGGAATATGGAAGACGTACCACAGTGGCAAGTGGCACAGCGGGAAGGTGGATGGGCACTGTGGGATGGCACGTACGTGGTGTGGCAACATGGAATACACCACACATTCCACTCTCTGTTTCTCAAACCTAGGTGCCACAAGGCTCACCAGATGCACCCTATGCGCCACATGTACTTAACACTCCACTGCGCTCTGCTTGCATTCGGTAGGGTGAACAGTACTAGTACCAGGCCACTCCACTATAACTTGGGTGTACAAGAGGGTGCATACAGGGAGCCATCGAGAGCGGAATGGCTCACTGAGGAGAGGAAGATAGCGGCCCTGGTGATTCTGGGTTGATGAGTCGGCTACTGAGTGCAGCGTGCACTGGGAGTTGATTGGCCTCACCTGGGTGAGGGAGAGAGTGACCCCAGCAATGCTGTGCTGCTGTGCGCGAATGAGAGCCTGGAGGGGAGGAGACGAGGGAGGGGAGTGAGGAAGGGAGGGGAGGGAGGGGAACGAGGGGGGAGAAGGGACAGGGGGGGCGAGGAGAGATAGGACAGGGGCAGTAGGATCACCACAATGTTGCCTTGTGACAGGTGGAAGGGAGAATGGCAGAGGGTGAGCAAACAAAGGAAGATGAAACAGGCATGCACGCTTCACCTTCTGGTAGATCCACTCTATGTGCTCCAAGTTGTCTGAGTCAAAGCTCTCCCCTGGCCGCTCCTGGCAGTAATGGAGTGAGGAGAGGAGAGGAGGGGAGAGGAGAGATGGGAAGAGAAAAGAGTAGAAGAACGAAAGGCAAAGAAGAAGAGCAGTCACAAGGAGAAAAGCGGGGATAAGCGAGAGGACGAGACAGAAAATGTGAGGAGGGGGGAGCAAGAGAGACGAGAGAGCAGGACGGGGCGAGGGAAGGAGGGTGACGAATCTGCCCTTGGCTTACTACAAGACTGCGGCCCCCCTCTCCACTCACACTTCCCCCCACCCACTCTCACTCCCCCCCCCACTCCCCCATCTCCCCCTCACCCTCTCACCTCTCCTTGCGAACAAGAGAGGGGTTTCAGCCATGGTGCAGAGAAAGAACTTGGTTTGAGGAAGAAATCCCCTCCTACCCTCCCTCCCCACTTGCTAAGCTCCCGCCCTCCCCCTAACCCCCCCCACTTCACGAGGCGCGCATATTCCATGCAGTGCGCGGGCGACCTAGGCGCTTCCGCCAGGCCGCAGAGGGGAACTTGGTCTGGGGGGGAAGATCCACAGCGCGCACTGGAAACATGGGGTCACTTCCTTGAAACCCTCTATCTCATTCCCTCACCTCCCCCCACTGGATGAGGTGAGCGTATCCAATGCAGTGAGCGGGCGGCCGAGGGAGCCCAGCCAAGGTGCAGAGGGGGAACTTGGTCTGGGAGGGAAAGCGCCTCAGCTCGCTCTGGAAGCAAGGGGCCACTCCCCTCGAAACCCTCCACTCCATTCTCTTACCTCTCCCCACTGAACTAGATGAGCGTATTCAATGCAACGCGCGGGCCACCTAGGCGTTTCAGGCAAGGTGCAGAGGGAAAGGTTGGTCTGGGGAGGGAAGAGCCACAGCGTGTAGTGGAAGAAGGCAGGGCGTCTCTCCCCTTGAGAGCCGCCATCCATGCCCTTCCCCCTACTGAAGAGGCTGCTCACCTCTCCCCACTGAATCAGGTGCGCATATTCGATGCAGTGAGCGGGCGAGCGGGGGGTTTCAGCCAGGGTGCAGAGGGGGAACTTGGTCTGGGGGGGAAAGAGCCACAGCGTGCACTGGAAGCACGGGGTCACTCCCGGGATGATCACTCGCGCATGGCCCTTGAAGCCCTCCGTGCCGCCGTCTACCATGGGACGGATGGACGCTAGATCCAGCTCGCCATCCGCAGAGTACTCTGGAGAAGGGTAAAAAAGGAGGCAAGGAGAGAAAAGACGAGTATGATGACCCCTCCATGCCCCTTGAAACCTTTGAAGCCCTCCGCGCCCCCATCTGCCGTGCCCCCATCTGCCGTGCCCCCATCTGCCGTGCCCCCATCTGCCGTGGGACGGATGGATGCCACATCCAGCTCGCCATCGCGGGGATGGTGTAGTGGAATGGGCAATGAAGGTGAAGAAGAAAAGGAGGAACAATGAATGAGTACGATCAACCGCACAAGGCTTTTGCAACCATAAAAACCCTCCGTGCCCATGTCTGCCATGGGGCGGATGGACGTTGGACAATAGGCGTGCTCGCCGTCAGGAGAGCACTCTGGTGGAAACGGTGATGAGCACAGAAGGAGGAGCGGACGACGAAAGAATGTGGGATCGCACGCACAGGCCCCTGTGCCCCGACAAATGTGGGGCGGGCCGCCGGTGGAGCTTGCCATCCAGGGTGCACTCTGGAGAAAGAGATGACTGGTAAGAAGAGTGAGAGAGGACGGTGTTGGCTTGGCAGGTGGGCAAGAGGTCCAGTAAAGAGAGAAAGCAGGCGGGAGATATGGGGAACCGACGCAATGACGCAAACCCCGTGGTCGCACCTAGGAAGCCGCAGACGAGGCTGTTGATGTAGGAGCGCGCCTCGAGGGAGTCCAGCCCGAGCACTATGATATTGAAGTCGCTGAAGAACGACGCGGGCTTGTCCTCGATGCGGCAGAAGTGGGGCGTTACCTGGTGAAGGGTGGGGAGAGCAGTGGTGAGGGGCACAGGGGAAGCGGGAAGGGGGAGAGTGGGGGGGTGGGGGGGGGGGGGGGGGTGTGGGGGTTAGCGAGAGACGGTTGAGGCCCAACACTACGGAGCAACATGCAAATCACGATGATGTTGAAGTCACTGACGGAAGATGCAGGCTTGTCCTCTATGCGGCAGAAGTGGAGGGGCACCTGAAGAAGGAAGGGAGAGGTTGTGTACAGGTGAGGACAGATTCACCCAGAATTTGCAAGCCACCAATAATAGTAAGCCACCAGCTGTCATTTCGCAGCCACTACCTTGGTAAGTTACCCAGAAAAAGCAGGGCAGGGATCATGGGTGGTGTGGTGGGGGTGGGGGACGAGGGTGAGAGGCGAGGATGCTGTGGAAAGGTCAAGCTGGCTGAAGGTAACCAGTAAGGAGTAGAAGCCACGATGGCAGGAAATAGTCTGGCAAGGCATGACATGGCATGTAGACATGGCATGTAGACATGGCATGTAGACATGGCATGTAGACATGGCATGTAGACATGGCATGTAGACATGGCATGTAGACATGGCACATAGACATGGCACCCCATGCCACCATGCCTACAAAATCAGTCAGCCCTTCAAACACCCTTCATTTCAGCCCACCAACAGCGCACCAGCTAGGAGAGGGCCACACAAACCTCTGCAAACCCCCCTGGGGTCCCTCCACCCACCTCCCCCCAACCCCGCACCTCCCTGCCCCGCACCCTCTGCTCCCGTCAGTGCTCTTTCCCCATATCCTTCTCCCCCTCTGCTCACCTTGACCCCCCCCACTCGGCTCATGACACGCTCTGCTGCCACCACTGCCTTGGGCTTGCCCACGTCGGCAGGGCTGCAGGCAGGGGAATGGGGAAGTAAGAGGGACACGTGGGGGCCAGAGGGAGGGGCATGGGGGGAGGGGAGGGGAAGGGGGAGAAGTAGACTTGCCACCACTGCCATAGGCTTACCGACGTTGACAGAACTGGATAAGGGGAGAAGGGGGGAGGGACGTTGACAGAAGTGGATAAGGGGAGAAGGGGGGAGGGACGTTGACAGAAGTGGATAAGGGGAGAAGGGGGGAGGGAGAACGAGGTGACGTGGCTGAGAGACAAGGCCATGAGACTCATGCGCTGCGCTGGAAGTGCACTGTTCATCCACTGTAGAAAACTGTTCATGCACGGTGGAAGCACTCCTCATGCGCTGTATATGCACTGCTCATGTACTCTGGATGCACTGATCATGCACCATAGTCCATAGATGCACTGTTCATGCACTGTGGTGCACTGTTCACGCACTGTATATGAATTGCTCATACACTGCAGCAGATGCACTGTTCATCCCTGTCGAAGCCCTGTTGCTGCCCTGTATCTGTGCGCACCCACCGGAAGAGGAACTGGCGGTTGAGGTTGGAGACGTCGATGGTGTCCATGTCGATCACATCGATGCTCCCAAACCCCGACAGCACCAGGTCCTTGAGAAGCTCACAGCCTAGGCCGCCCGCCCCCACCACCAGCACGCGGCAGTCAGACTTGAGGAACTCGCGAATCTGGTTGGCAGGGGGAGCAGGGAAGGGGTTGGGCAGAAAGGAAGGGATGACTCGCATTCGGCGGCCCTTGAGCAGGTTTGTGAGGCGCTTCAAAAGTCGTCGATGGTGTCCGTGTCCATCACGTTGATGCTCCCAAACCCCGACAGCACCAGGTCCTTTAGTAGCTCGCACCCCAGCCCGCCTGCCCCCACCACCAGCACCCAGCAGTCAGACTTCAGAAAGTCGCGGAGGGCGTGGTTGGCGACGGAAATGGCAGAAAAGTGAATCTGGTTAGGGAGAAGAGAAGCGGGTGCATCAGGAGGCAGCACGTCCTTCAGCAGCTCGCACACCAACCTGCCTGCTCAGTGCTGCCAGCACCAGCACGCGGCAGTCTGACTTTAACAAGTGACGAATCAGGTTGGTGGACGGGAGAGAGCAGGGTAGGATGGCAGGGAGGAAGGCAGGAAAGTGGCGAAGGGGTGGAACGGAGGGGGAGGTGAATCACGCCACGCCCTTCAGCAACTCACAGCCCAGTCCAGCCCAGCCCGCCCGCTCCCACCTCCAGCACGCAACAGTCTGACTCTAAGAGCAAGAGGATCACGCCACGCCCTTCAGCAGCTCACCGCCCAGCCCGCCTGCTCCCTCCTCCAGCACTCGGCAGCCTGATGCGAGGAAACTCGCGAATCTGTTCAGCACGAAGGGGGGGTGGGGGGGAGGGGGAGGGGGGGGGTTGGGGGGGGTTCTAGGACACGGAGTTGAGTCGAAACGGACACGAGAGCCCACAGGTGGACTGCCAGCTCCCACGACCAGCAAAGCACCTGGCAGGTGACTTTTGAGGCTCCCAATCCCAAGTGGTTGAGTTGAGCAACGAGGAGAGAGAGTGAAGAGCAGGAGATAGGGGAATGCAGGAGGGCAGCGCCTGAATAAGAATGCAGGAGGGCAGCGCCTGAATAGATCTTTGGGTGGGCGGGTGGGCGGGTGGGCGGGCGGGCGGGCGGGTGGGTGGGTGGGTGGGTGGGTGGGTGGGTGGGTGGGTGGGTGACTATCCGAAAGTCCCTCACCCGGATGCTCCCGTGGATTTCGTCATATTGGAGAACGTCAGAGCATGTCGCATCACGCACGCCACGTGCTATGGTGATTCCGAGTCCAACGCAAGAATCCCTAACGGTTCAATGCCCGTGGATTCCGTAAGAATTGAAACCGTCATAGCACGTCCCATTAGTACACATGCTACGCCAGTCAACCGCAGGCCACGGCTACCACCCACATCAGTGGTACTAGGCAGACGCAAGTTAATCAACTGCGTTTTCGCGAATCTCCAGTCGTCGAAGGCGACGAACCGGGGTTAGTAGTTCGGGCTGGATGAGATTCGGATTGCCGCCAGCTGGCATTGGGGGATCGCAGCGCGGCTTGCGGCAGTCAAATGCGTCGCGTTATAACGAGTACGGTAGTACTACCTCCGGTGAAGGTTCGAATCCAGGTCCGACGAGCATCCCTGGTCGCAGCAACAGACGGTCCAGATCTCGCCACTGCCCCTCCAGCTCCATCGCCGCATCTCCCGCTGCCATCGCAGCCGTTCGTCCCAACGCCGAACAACGCGATATACTTCAACTCGAAAACAACGCAAGTGTCGTTCTAGAGACGTCTGTGCCACAACGCAACAAATTCCTAAAAGAGTCTCAGAAACAACGCGATTGGCGAGGGGTGGAGCGTGAAGGATAGGAAGGGTGCTGAAACCGCTGCAAGGCGATCGACCACCTGCAGTGCGCGAGGCCGAACCACAACAAGCTGTACGGAATGCGAGGGAGGCACTCACCTCCTAAAAAACGTCTAGCATTTGGTGTCATGGGTGGCACGCAGAAGGTTATACAATTACTGTAGCATTTTGTCCGCGCTGCTGTTTGTCGCTGTAACGTTATTCTAAGGGCTGCACTCACCAGTAAGTCGCTGTCGGTTAAGCATATGAGAGCCATATAAAGTTGGATTAAGGAGTTACATTATAAAAACAAGGGGCGACGAAATCCTCTTAGGGTTGCGAAGATGATTTCAAAATTTGTGATGGATTAATTACGATGAAGGCCTTTTCCGTATTACGTTTTCTTCATAGTATTGCGTCTGTTCAAGAGGGATTGTATGCCTGAGCTAACTATCCGGCCCCTAGCTCCACCGGCACCTGCTCCGCCATGCAACCGCCCCGCCGCAGTGCTGCCGTGACGCCGTATAGCTGCGCCGCCAGGTCTCTGCACCGCTGTGCCGCTCTGCCGCCCCCGACCTACCAACCTTGGCTCCTTTCTGCGCCGGCACTCCTGCCGGCTGTCTCCACCACTCTTCACCGCACTCCACCTCCCTCCACCACACTCCACCGCTCTCCACCGAACTCCAAGTCACTCCACCGCTCTCCGCCGCCCTGTCCTCCCCCTTTCCTCCTCTCCTTGTCAGTGGCAGTCAGCTGCTGCAGCAGTGGTGATGGCAGACTCACTGCTCCGCCTGGACGCGGAGGGTTGGGCGATCGACTTCGAGGCGTGGCTCGTCGACCTTCGCCATCACCTTACAGGTCAGCGCCAGGACGGTCACTTCCTGGCTGTTCATGTCGATGGCCTGCATCCCCACCCCGCTGCGCCTGTTGCTCTCCCTGCTGCTCCCACCACTGCTGAGCGTAAGCCCATTTCCGTTAGTGCGCTTGCTCGTGCTGTCGGGGACTCGCGCGACGTCGTCGTGTAGTTTTCTATCAGCCGCGAGCTTCCCCTGTCTGAGCGTCCCCGCTTTACCACTGTAGCGAACGCCCAGGAATTCTTAGATGCAGTCATCGCTCGCTATTCCACCCCCGCCTCAGCCTCTGCTGACCGCTCGATCCTCCCCATGCGGTTCCCTAATCTCGCGTCCTTCCTTACTGTCGCCGACCTGGCCACTAACCTCCGTGCACTTGAGACTAGCTATCGCGGCGCTAGCACTGAGGCTCAGCTCACTGCCTTTCTGCCGCCGCTTTGCGCTACCCTCTACCTCATTGCCACGCTACCCTCTAGCCACTGCCCGTGACCACTTCCTTAGTTTGCACCCAAGTGACCACCCATACCGCCTTTGTCACCGCCCTATCCGCGATAGAGACCCGCCAGCGCACTATCGCTCAGTCTAGCGGTACTGTGGCGGTCATTATCTTTCAGGGCTGTGCTTCCTCGCAGTGCTCTTACTCTGACGTCTCTGCTGCTGTCGCTAAGACAGCTCCTGCTGCTGCGGCCTAAGCGCAGCCGCGTCAGGGTAGGGGCTGCTGCCTCAAGGGGGGGCGTGGAGAGAGAAGGGTGGTGGGGGTTGGGGAAGGGGGGGGGGACGGTGGTTCTGACTAGGGGACAGCAGCAGCAGCAGCAATTAGGCCGCCTCCCGTCGAAGTGACCCAGTGCCTCTGGTGTTGGTAGCCACGGTGACGGCCCTCGCAGCTCGGCGTCGGATGGCAGCTTCGGCGCTGTGGGTTGCCAGTACCAGACCGGCACCTTCCGCGGCAGTGTGTATGGTCGTACCAGTCACACTGCCGCCTGCTGCATCCGCCGCCTCGACGATCTCTTCCGTCTTCGCTTCGACCTTGCGCCGGACCTTCCCGACTGGCCCAGTCTGGTGCGTTGCCATGTGCCTGTCTTTGAGATGGATATGGATCAGCTTTGCTCTGCATTGCATGCCATGTATCACTCTAGTGTGATCGGACCTTATTACCCTGTGTTGCCTAGTGTAGGTGTGCCTCATATGTGTAGTCTAGGCTCTCCTGTTGCGTCAGGCGTAGGATCATCAGCCTTGCTTAGCCTAGGCTCCAAGATAGCCCCTGCGCCGGCCGTCGCTACCGCTTTGCTCTGGTTCATGCCTGACTCTGGTGCGTCTGCCTGCTTCTTCCGTGACCACACTGCGCTCACGCCGCTTGCCGCCCCTACCGCTGTCATGCTTGCTGGCCCCTCCTCCAGTACGGTAGTTGCCCGTAGCTCCACTACCCTTCCCTGTCTGGCGGTTTCCCTCAGGCTCCCTTACAAGCCTGCACATCCCCTCATTCTCCAGGAACCTAGTTGGTGTCGGCTATCTTCAGGACCTCAGCGTCACCACTAAGTTCCCTAGCAATGCGCGCTACGCAGTCTGTACCGAGGCCGTCACAGGTGCCCCCCTTACAACGTTCTCCCGGGACCCAGTGTCTGGCCCGTTGACGCTCGACACCAAGTCCCCCCTTGTGAGGGCGTCCCCTTAGGTGCCTGCATCTACCCAGGTTGCTGCGGCTTGCTCGTGTCGGTCGCTCACTCACCCGTCGCTTCTGTGGCACCACCGCCTAGGTCACCCCGCACTCCCGCGCTTGCGTCACATGTCTCAGCACGGTCTTGTCCTAGGTCTCCCTGCGACGCTCCCTGCCCTCCCTCCCTCGCCTGCACCGCCGTGCACGCACTGCGTTGAGGGCCGACTGTGCCGTGCTCCCGTGGGTTATAGCTACGCGCATCCACCACGTTCTCCCCGTGCTGTGTCTCCACTCTGAC